TTCATGGGCATGTCCAGTGAATGCTGTTTTCTGGCTTTGTCCTCTTATGGGGGCCAAGTCCAGAGCAGTTGCTGAGGTGGGTCCTTCCCGCTGTGGTCCCTCCCTCTGCAGGTCCCCACTGCCTGGCAGCCCTTTTCCTGGCTTCTTCGCAGGGACAGAAGTAACTTTTGCAGTTCCTCTTTCCAAGAAGCTGGTGTTTTCTCAGCCTTTCTAGACACTTCCTTTTCATTTCCTGGGAAAGCCTGTCCTCTCCCAGCTGTAGGAACCGTCCCTGCCGACTTGAGGAGCAGCCTCCCACCATCACACAGATCTTTCTGGACCAGCACCTTAGGCTCTCCCTCCCCACTGCGCTGGGCTTCCTTCTGCTCTGTGGAGCTACTTGGGAGGCTTCCCCTGGGTCCTCCAATGCGTCTGCTGCCTTCCGCTCTCTCTGTGTTCCGTTGCCGCAGTAGGCTTTCCTTGAGAGCGTACGGTTTTTCATTTTTGGTTGAATTTTGCTTCATACCTACAAAGGGTCGAGTGGCACCAATTCCCACCCTCAGTGATGGATGGAAAAAAAGGTGGTACCAATGCTTGCAATAAAAAATCAGTGTTTCACCACAGAGAAGCCAAATTGACCATCGGAGGTAGGCACAGAGTGTTGAGAGTGTTGTGGTTGATTCTCATGATGCAAGGCCTCGTGACACAAGTTCTGTGTGCTGCCACACAGGAAGTGGCCATGTCAATGAAGGTTTTAACCTTTCCCTGTTGTTGAGTTATCAGCCTGCTCTTTGTAACATGAAATAAGGGTACAGCAGTTCTGAGGTGTCTTTCTGGAAGGGACAATTCCCGTGCACAAGCATGCTTATGTTTTCTAGAAAGCAGGCTAAGGATTCTAGGGGTGAAGCCAAAAAGACTCAATCGATTTTGGTCAAAATGCCTCCAGTTGCGGAAACTCAACAGCAAAAGGACAGATGTCACTCAGCACCTGGGAGCGACAGCCAATCAATTCTTTTATCACCCGTGCAGAAGGAGAAAATCCTGATTTAACAGAGTGTTGATAGTGAGTAATTACTAACTGAAGAAACAGTTTTGACAGTGACTCATTTGTTCTTATTTTAATAACATAAAAACACACTCTGTTTCTCAAACCTGTTACCATCTTTGCAGTTTCCTTATTGCATCATTCAGGGATTAGTCTTATTAGAATCGGCAATCTAACCTAAATCATTACAGCAGCGATGCCACTCGCCCTGTGAAAGTGCTGTTGTGAAATTCAGAAATCTCGGTTGGGCATACAGATGATGCTTTGGCTGTACTCTTGAATTCCTGTTTTAAAAATAAGGATGTTGTGAGTTCAATACTTTGCTGGTGGAAAGTGATTTTACGTACATGAGTTGGAATAAAAGATGCTGCACAAGCTCCCTCTTTTCAGTTAGTAGAATTTACAAATTTACTTATCTGTGTCATTTTTTTTAACTGAGGTTAATTGACCAATGCCTCATATGAAATAACATTGCAAGCAATAATTGACAGCGAAAGCACCCAGTATGTCTTGGAAATCCGTGTGAAGATCTGCTATCTGACCGTGGCTGCTTCTGTAGGTTACTAAGAAGTTGTGTTTTCTCTGCCAGTCTCCCTTTGTGGAGGAGGCTTTGGCAAATATACACATATTGCACTTTTTCTGATCTATTAATCAAGTTTGAGTTTGCATGCATCATCTAGAAGCGGATTAAGCAAATTGTCTACCTCTTGTTTTTTAATTGCTTTGACAACTTTCTCTCTCTTCTTTCAGGTAAAAAATCCCCAAGATGCAAAGCATGCACTGGATAGATAGCCTTGGTCTCTATGCCCCTCACCCCTTTTGGGGAGAGGGGGTACAGAGAGCAGCACCGTTTGCCACAAGATGGAGCTCTGCGGATGACGTTTTGTGAGTTTTGCTGATTAAGAATCTAATTTCCCCTGACAACTGGGGTGCATGAGGCACCCTGTTATTTCCAAGTCTTCCTAGGCACACTCTCTGACAGGGCTCCTGGCTGCACTGGTTAATGTTCCCACACACAAACAAGAATGTCCCACGTAGAACTGATGCTCTGCCCGCCATGGGAACAGCCGCTTTGCGTGGCTTGACCAACGTTTTCACCTGGAAGCTCCTGCTGCTGCTGGCAGGTTCCGTCAGAGGCAGGCCACAGGCTGGCTTCTGCTGAAGGCTGATTCATCCTTGGTTCTGGCTGAAATCTTGGAGAGAGTGTAAGATTCACTAGAAACGCCCGGGACCCCAGTCAGAAGAGGAGAAGTGAAGTTCCCAGCCTGGGTGGGAGCTCTGCTTGGGCTTGGAGAGCTCAGTGGGCGTCCTTGGCCACACCCCATGGCGCCCCACTTGTTCTTCCTCAGCCCTGTGCTGCACACAGCATCCTGCAGGAGCACCCCCCACGGCCCAGGCTGAGGACAGGAGGAATGGTCAGCCAGCCGCAGGCTGGTCCAGGCTGGAGTCGCTCAGCGGTGCCGGGGCTGGAGATGCTGACCTCACATTGGAGGAGAGCAGCTTCAGGCCACCAGCGACGGAATGAATTCCTTAACAAGACCAGGAGGAAGCCGGCGCTTGGCGCGGTCCCCTGGCTGGGGCCTCGGGAGCGGAGAAGCTTCCCTTCTCCTGTCTTTACGAGGGCAGGAGAGGGGCAGCCTTCCATGGTGCGCTGATGCTGTCCCTCAGGGGTACATTTTTAGCTGCAGAATTTATGAGTTGCACATTTATTTGATTTGGCTTTTGGTTAATTTTTTTCTCCTCTTGTCAACCTGACAATACGAGGGCAGACGGAGGCAGTCCCTGCAGAAGAGGCTGTAGACGGTGCTCGTGGAGGCGGCTTGGCAGAGGCCGGGAGGTGCCCTCCGCTGCCTCCCGCTCCTCTCTCCCCTCTCCTCTCCGCGGCCCGTTCAGCAAGGCTCAGGCAACCGGAACCCTCCACTCCAAGTAGATAAGTCCTGGAATAAACATGGGCGTGAGTCTCATTAACATTTCCTGTCAGACCCCTAAGCACAGAACCCCCAAATGGCCCCCTGGGCCTCCCCGTAATTTCTGGAAAGCACATAAAAAAGACCATCGGTGGGTATATTTGTGGAAATCACTAGTGGGTGAGGGGGATATGCTTATACGTCAATAACTCTTTCTAACACCACCTTAGCGCAGGTGGTGTGGTGACTCCCCTCATGGAGGGAGAGACCTATGGCATGAGTTTATCACCAATGTCAGGCATCCGGGGAGGTGGCACAAGGAAGATCTTGGTCATTTCCCCCTTTTAAGTGATGTGGAGGTATGGACATTTTGTCACCCTAATGACTCCTGGCTTTGGTTCTTCTGACCATTCCATGTCACAAGAACATAGTGACCCACTTTTCAGAGTGGCAAATATCCTTTAAGGAAAAACTTATGCTCAAAAAGATCCAACAAACAGATGCTTAGTCTGAATGCTTAGAACCGTACAGTGTTGGGTTAGCGCCATTCTGCTCTGCAGCGTGTATCTGAGGGCATTGAAGTCAGTGAGGGAAGATCCACACTGAACGCTAACGAAACTTGTTTGCCATGTTTCATGACATTGTTTATTTGGGAGGTGTTAGAGTTCACTCCTGGAGAGCTTTTCCTGCCGTGTTTTGTTTTGGGATTCCTAAGTATGACCCTTAGCATGGCCTAACAAAGAAGGACACGGTCATTGGTACCCAAGAAAAACAAATTGCCGGTGGATAGGGGACAGCTTGTGATGAGACTCATCACTTCTTTGAAGGCGTGTTATCAAGTGACTGGGCAGGAGCCTGATTATAGGCTATGGTGGGGCACATTCAGAGAGAGGAGAACCAATCCAGGGCCCAGTGATGGCCTCTGACTTGGGAGGAAAGCAGGTGTGGGGTCCAGTGTAGCACCTGGCAGCCATTTATTAGTCTTAGGAGGGCCCTGCAGTACTGGACTTACTCGGGGGGACGGTGGGTGTAAACCCGGACCTCAGCACACAGGGAGTGCTCTGCTGGCGCGCACAGAAGCTTGGGACTTGCCGTTTTCTGGTCCTCACCTTGGCTTGTAAGCAGAAAGAAATTGGGTCAGCACCAGATGCACTTCACATTCTATCTCCCTCTCAGCACTGAACTATTTTAGCCACCTTTCCCCTGGGAAGGGCCACCTTGTCCAAGTGATGGTGGCCAATGTCTCGACGAAAACGGATCTTGAGTCCTTCCGAACGGCCGAGTGATGCCTTTGCTGACCTTTGCCCAAGAGGCCAAAGCAGCTGCATCAGGCACCTGTAGCTGAGCCTTGGCCTTACTTCCTCCATCACCAACTCCACCCTCCACACCTGTTTCTTCCCGGGTGCCGAGTGCCCTCCCTTCTCCTAATCTCACACTTCCTCCTCCAGCACCTTTGCTCCTGGCCTCCACCTCCACCCAGTTGATTCCCTCTGTGCATCTGTTGCTCCAGTACTGTCATCCTCTCTCCTCCACAGCACTGAGCAGAGTGAAGAATGGATCTGAGTTTTGGACTCCTGGCTGGGAGCTCTGGAGAGGTGGCCACCTAAGGAATCTCGCCTGTCAGATAGTAGGAAGTTGACTGCCAGCCTCCCATTATAACCTCCCCAGGGATGGGCCAGCCACTCTTGGCCATGACAGATTTAGTTTCCTGTTCCACAGATGATCTTGATGGAACAGAAAAATTTTGAGTTGATTATAAGCCTCTTCTATGTCCTTCAGAATTTGCTGGGGTTTTTGCAACTGACTTCAGGATTTTGAGTACAAGGATAACATTCGTGAGCAATGGGCAATAAAAGTCCAAGTCTTTGCTCAGAATTGAGGGTAACTGGGCTTTTGGAGTGGACAGTCTCAGCTGAAACTTCACATGTTTATGTGTAATTTCATGCAGACACACCCAAGCCAAAGGGAAGTCAGAATTAGGAAATGCCGGACTTGGCTGCGATGGCTGCAGGGCTGACGAGAAACTGCTAACGTCCATGTGGAGCCACTCTAGGGTTTATAAGAACATAATGGATGGAGAAGAGAAAACCCATGGTGGTCGTGAAGGCCCTGATGCCGTGTATGTCAAGTCGATGTCTTCTGATGGTCATGAATGTATTGTAAAAAGAGAACATGCACTAACCTCAGGAACAATAAAAACCATGGTGAGTAGCCCAGGTAAGTTTGCTGAAAATGAAACTAATGAGGTCCATTTTAGAGAGATCCCTTCACATGTGCTATCAAAAATATGCATGTGTTTTACCTACAAGGTTCGCTACACTGACAGCTCCACTGGGATTCCCGAGTTCCCAATTGCACCTGAAATTGCACTGGAACTGTTGATGGCTTTGAACTTCCTAGATTGTTAAATAAAATTAATTATAATAAACTGTTAATTTTTTCAGTATTTAATACTTGTAATTCAGTTAGTAATTTTTTTCACATATAGCATGTTGCCTGTATGCAATTGAACTACAAATTTAATTGCAAAGCAGATTTTCTTCTGTTCTTTTGCATAGCAATCAAAGTTGAAATTTGTTTACTACATCAACAAATTAAGGACATTTTCACAAACTGAGAAATAAACAATTAGGCCAACTTGTAGGTGGTTTTACTTATCCTATGGATGTGACTTTTCAAATTAGAACAATGATAATTCAATAAATGCTAAAATACAGGCATAAACAAACATGTTCTACAGGTAAATAATGGGGCTATATAATTTTTTTGTGTGTTTTTTAAAAAACTTATTCTGATCTATAGCCACTGATAGCATTACTAGAGTTATACAAATAATTACATCATAAACAGATTTATAACTTAGCCAAAAGTTGATTTTTATAATTCAAAGAATGAGAATTGAAATTTCTTATGTCTTTTTTTGATAAACCACGGTATTATTTAAGTGTATCTTGTGTTTTATTTATTGCTACACTTTAAGAACTTTATTTAAAAACAATTTGGAAGATCACTAGGTACAACTTTAAAATAGTAACTGCTTGAACTCTGACCCATGGTCAACAAGTGAACTTCACGACTTAGATCCTGTTCCTGGTTCATTTGGGGCAATCCAAAGTACTGTACTTTCAAACTTCCTTTGCAATCAAAATCTCATTCTTCATAGTTCCTCATGAATATACTTCTTTTTGCTTAAGTATGTTTTAAAACACTCATTATGAGTTTTATCTAGATCTTAAAGATAGATTTTTTTGAACAATACCTATCTTCCTCCATCAAATGTTATAAAGTATGAAAAATGTTGAGCAATGTAGTAAAAAAATCTTATAATACACTTAGATATAGTACACGAATTATCTTCTATTAATTAAAGTATATTCCTATAAATATGGTATCTTAACGATGGGTTTTATGAAGTCAGACTTATGAGGAGGTCATTCAAATTTAAGCAAACAAAGAGCATGAGAAACCGACAGAGCATCTTTGCGTATGCTTGGGAGAAGAATCACTGAAGCTGGGTTTAGTATTGTCTGTTTTAATACAGTAAAGCTGTGATTTTGAGGTCTATAAACTTAAGTCTTCACCTTATTATTAAGACTAGCTTAATATAGACCAGTTTTTCTGGAAAACTGCAAAAATCATAAAATAATTTTTCCTCTTAGAAAACCTAAATATTATCATTTACAGCTTATTAAAAACAGTTAATATAACACATATTTTTAGTAATTTAAACATTCTGGTACATGGGCTGGGGTTGTGGTTCAGTGACAGAGTACTTGCCTCACATACGTGAGGCACTGGGTTCGATCCTCAGCACCACATTAAAAATAAATAAACAAAATAAAGATATTGTGCCCATGTATAACTAATTTAAAAAAAATTTTTAAAAACATATTGGTACATACTTTAGAAGATATGTGTAAGTACAAGATCTTCTGGGGCTGGGGATGTAGCTCAGTGATAGAGTGCTTTGAGGCACTAGGTTTGATCCCCAGTAAGGTGGGGAGTGGGAGGCTGCTGCTTAGTAATCAATAATAGCCATTAGAAACCTATATGATGAAAGGTGAGAGCTGGAAATAAAGTTGGACCAGTTTTTGTAGGTTACTTTGTGTTGGATCCAGAAGTAATCTTAAGTTTAGGACATTAAAATAAAACTGGAATGAAGACCAGACAAAACCTGTGTATCTTGCAGCAAATGGTAGTTGCATCTTAATAAAGGCTGATAGACTAAAAGGTTAAAAAAATTAGGAAATGCCATTTAAAAATTATTTTATGATTTTATTAGACTTCCATTTCTAGAAAGTTTGTTATCTACTTTTTACTTGTTTATTTTAATGTAATTAATATTTTTTTCAAAAAAAACTTATTTAATTACCTATTGGATTTTTTTCAATGAAAATCTTCTCATAAGAAATAGGAAGAGATTTAAGTGAAGTGGACACAGTTTCTCTCTTGTTTTTATAAAGCAATCTTTGGTTCTTGCAGAGTAGGCCCTTTTCCTCAGCTACCAGGCTGACGCAGACTCCAGCTGCCTACACCCCAGCACCCCATACCTGCAGAATGCTCTACCTTCTGCACCCCACACTATCAGCATTCTGTACATTCAGCATCCTATACCTTTGCAGTGAAGAGTATCCCGAGTGATCTGCTTTGTTCATGACTTAATTATGTTATTTTACTGTTCTTGAAAACCTAATACCAGGCAAATTTACATTACTGTGTTCTTAATTAGCCAATAATCCTTAAGGATTTGAATGATACATACCCCAAGTAATTTCCTTCCTCACTAAATATGAGTTTTCTTGCATCAGGTTAGGAAGACAGGACAATGACAGGAGGCATCTTGGTGATGACAGCCCTCAACAGGTCTGTCTCCTGAGTCACACTGCGTTAAAAGCCAGAGAGGGTTTCAGCAGCATCATGAAGCACGTCATAGGAAACCAATAGATACACCGTGTTGTTGGCTATGACGAGCTTAGCTCTTCATCAGAAGGCAAAACCCTGCCAGTGCAGCTTCTAGCCTTTCAATTAAGTCAGCCGCGCATTTCTGTGCCTATAATCCACAGCCTCCGTGTTGGCTGCACACCTTTGGCTAGAAACACGTGCATGTCCCCCACATAGGACCCACGGACAACTGGCTGGCACCTGCAGTTGCCTTGGGTACTGCAGAGCCCAGTTCAGAATGCTTCCACCTCTGTTCACGCGAGAATCTCCCCACTCTGGCTGCCTCCTCCTCATTTGCTGCCCACTCTTACTGCCCGGCTGCTGACCACTGTCCCTATGATTTCCTTCCTCATGGGACCTAATTCATCCAGCTCTCCCTTGGGTTGCATGTGGCCAGGGGCTTTTGGATGGGTGGGTGGGGTTGGTCTACGCCAGGGCTTCTCCAGTTACTTAGTCAACTAGATAGTGAATGCTTGTCCTGTTCAGCTAGATAGTAAGACATCTGTCCAGAGTCACAGTGAGCACACTTAGGTAGTTAGGTGTGCGGTATGTTCAGATCTACAGAGGGACCCAAATTTTAATTTAAAATGCTAGACAATTAATGAAATGGATATCATTAATTTAGGTTTGCAATGCATGATGGTCTAGGCCAATCATCACTTTTCCGAGCTAGAGATTGGTTTAGGCAAAAACGTGATAAAATTCTGGCCAATAAGAGGCTGAAGGGTCCCTAGGAGGGGTTTGAATGACCGAAAAAGAGATGAGAGAAGCAAGGTCCCTTTCCGGCTGCTTGAATGGGTCCCCAAAGTGAAACAAGACAGGAGAGGGCTCAATGGCAGATGGCAAAGGGCAAGAGGATGGCCGCCGGGTCCTTGCGTGCTGGGAAACTTGCGATTCACGGAGCCCGAGCAGGAGTCCTTGTGAGATCAGTCTCCTGAGTTTAACCAGTCCTGTGGAGTCCTCTGTCCCTTGCCATACAGAGCTTCCTAATATGCTTCTTGACAGTGTCTAGGAATCAGCTTGCAAGTGTCTGCGGTCACTGATGTCGAGGGATACCCGTTGCTTTTCAATTAAAAGAATAAGATGAACTTGGAACCTGTGTGTCACATCAAGCTTACTGGACATGTGTGGCTTTCGTGGCCCGTGGGACTGGTGTGGGGACCTGACTCAGCAGGCCATTGGAATTCTCGATTTGACCTTTGTGGTTATGGCTCTTCATAGGTGACCTGGAAGGTCTGTGATGCTCAGTCGTTTGTCACTTTGCTGAGCCTGACGTTGGATCCTGTGTGCCGTGAACACTCAGCTACCAGCCTGGAGGACGCAGCTCATGGTGCTCCTGTCTCCAGGGACTTGTCAGCTCTTGACAAGGACTCACTGGCTCCTTGTGATGAGGCGTCCCACCCTCCAGTCACCTCACGTACCCACACAGCGTTCGTTAATGCTGGAAATGGAGAGAAGGTGCAGAAGAGGAAAGAGTGCCAGGCAGTGGAGTTCTGGGCCAAGTGGAGAGCGACGTGCTGGGCAGTGGCTGGATCCAGTGGCTATGGTCCTAGGAGGTGCCATCGAGCCCCTCAGGAGCCACCTGTGGACCTGTGGTGTCTGTGCTTCCCCAGGGCGTCTCGCTGGCTGTTGGAGCTTCTCCCTGGACAGCATCCTGCGTCTGACATCACAGAACACGAGGATGCTCATGGGCCTCACTGCCCCTGATGGGGACCGGCAAAGGCTCTGGACACACCTGCGGTAGGTGAGTCCACAGTAGGAGGACGGCCCAGGCTGGAAGCTGCTCAATGTCGGGAGGTCATGGTGATGGCTTTGCTTACATAACGCGCATCCTCACAGACATACCTGGCTTCTACCTGTGATCCCCCTTCCCCAGTGTCAGAGTCTGTCTTCTCCTGTGGAAAATCCAGCTAAGCAATGTTTGGGGTTCATTCTGAAGAAGCTCAGGAATCAGAGGCAGAAGGCGGAGAAAGTGAATCCTTTGGTGACAGTCGGGGAGAACGTGAGGATGCATTCCGAGTGATGACCAGGTCCTGGTCACACGTGCTGGCCACCTGGCACGGCTCTCCTGGGTGGCTCTGCTTGGCTCACAGTCAGCGGTGTGGGCTGAGCATCCTTGGTGACCAGCCTCCCTGTGGAGTCAGACACCTGCCCAGTGCTCCGAGTGGACAACCGGGGCCTAGGACCAGAGGCACCTGCGACAGTCAGGGCGGGGCGACGGCTCCTCTGTGAACTTCAGTTCAGATTGGTACGTCCAGGTATCCTTCTTAGGAACATGATGGAGAAGTCAGGTAGGGAGGATCTGGTGAGGGCACCGTGGGACAAGAAGAAGCATGGAAGATTCCAGAGAACTGTGTGGAGCTGCTGAGCCTCAGGAGGGGGGAGGCGCTGCTCTAAGGTCTGTCAAGAGGCTGGTTTCAAAACTCCTCCTTAAAGCTGGCTGGTTCCAACATGGTTTGTCCCCCTG